TAGTAGGCAGATGCTGTACCACGGAACCATGCCTCCAGGGCTTTTTTGTGCTGATCATTTTCTGAAATAGGGTCTGCCTTCCTTCCCAGGCAAGTGCTTGGTCTGTGACCTTCCAATTTTAGGCTTCATACTACAGCTGAGATGAAAGGCACTTCCCACCATGCCCATGTATTGGTTGAGAAGAAGTTCCTGCAACTTTCTCCCTAGGCAGGCCTGGAAATGAGCAGCAGTACCCAGCTTGAGGATTCTTTTCTTTTTATAAAAGAAATAGATACTAGTGGAAAAATCAGAAAATTCAAACTAAAGGAGTGCACGGTGGCACACATCTGTAGTTCCAGATGCTTGGGAGGCTCAGACAGGGTTGCTCGAACCCAGGAGTAGGGAGGTTAATCTGAGAAGCTGAATAGAACCCTACTCAGTGGGGCTTCTGGGTTTGGGCTTCCAGGTGGGGCTAAGGAACCCCCCTGTTAATTCCCCCCACACCCCAGGGGGAGCTTAAGCCTTCCCAGGCTTTAGAGCCTTGGGTGGGGATGGGAGTGGTTTTTGTGCAATAGAGCTAACCACTCCTAGCTCAGGACTGTTTGTTTAAGGGCATGGATGGCTTTGGTAGAAACTCCTGATTTTGTCAGTTTGTTTAAACTGAGGGGACCAATAGGTTTCAGAGACAAATCCCCCACTGGGAAGGCAGGAGAGCTCTACCGTAAGGCTTAAGGAGAGAAGTACAGCAGTGGCTCAAATTAATAGAGCATTTGCCTTGAGCAAAAGAGCTCAAGGACAGCACTCAGGCCCCGAGTTCAAGCCCCATGACCAAAACAAACAAAAAGCCCACTGGAAGTGGAGCTTCAACTCAAGTGCTCTGAGCAAAAAATGGTCAGGGACAATGTCAAGGCCCAGAGTTCAAGTGTGTGCGCATTCACCAAAACCAAACCAAACAAAGAAAAGCCCACAACTAAATTATTTGTACAGTTCAGTGGCATTAAGTACATTCATGTTGTGTAATCATCACTGGCCACATCCAGAACTTCTTTCACCTGGTAAAATGAAATATTATACACATTAAGCAATCACTCTCAACTCCCCAGCCACCGCCATACTGCTTTGTGTCTCATTTTGACTACTCTATGTACCTCAGAGAGGTGAAATCATATGATGTGTCTTTTTGTGAGTAGTTTATTACATTTACAGTAATCTCAATGTTTATCTGTCTTAGCATGTCAGGATTGGCCTTTTTTTTTTTTTGTCAGTTGTGGGGCTGGGCTTGGTCCTTGAGGAGCTCTTTTGCTCAAGGCTAGCACTCTATCAATTTGAGCCACAGCTCCACTTCTGTTTTTCTTTTTGGGGGTCCGGTTGTGGGGCCTGAACTCGGCCTGGGTGCTGTCCCTCAGCTCTTCAGCTCAAGGCTAGCGCTCTACCACTTGAGCCACAACGCCACTTCCGGCTTTTTTCTTGTTGCTTATGTGGTGCTGAGGAATTGAACCCAGGGCCTCAGGCATGCAAGGCAAGCGCTCTACCGCTGAGCCACCTCCCCAGCCCCTGTACTTCTGGTTTCTGACTGGTTAATTGGAGATAAGCGTCTCTTGGGTGACTTTTCTGGCTGGGCTGGCTTTGAACTGTGATCTTCAGATCACAGCTTCCTGGGTAGGCATGAGCCACTGGTGCTTGGCTAGGATTGCCCTTTTTTGGGGGTCAGTTGTGAGGCTTGAACTCTGGGCCTGGGTGCTGTCCCTGAGCTCTTCAGCTCAAAGGCGAGAGCTCTACCATGTGAGCCACAGCGCCATTTCTGGTTTTCTGGTGGTTAATTGGAAATAAGAGTCTCACAGACTTTCCTGCCTGGGCTGGCTTTGAACCACTATCCTCTGATCTCAGCCTCCTGAGTAGCTAGAATTACAGGTATGAGCCACCGGCACCCAACCCCTAGGGTTCCCCTTTTAAAGAAAGATTAATAGTCCATTGTATGTATTGTATCAGTTTTGTTTTGTTTTGTTATTTTATATATATATTTTTTGGGGGTCCAGTCGTGGGGCCTGAACTCTGGGGCTGGGCTCTGTCCCTCAGCTCTTCAGCTCAAGGCTAGCGCTCTACCACTTGAGCCACAGCACCACTTCCGGCTTTTTTTCTTTTTTGCTTATGTGGTGCTGAGGAATCGAACCCAGGGCTTCTGCCATGCAAGGCAAGCGCTCTACCACTGAGCCATCTTCCCAGCCCCATTTGTATCAGTTTTGTGAGTGTAGGCATACCTCATTGACGCCTACTTGGCAAATCCACATCTTAACCTTCTTAATCTTCATGGCTTGACCAGCCTCTGCCACTTTGCCATAGTATCTGCTGGATAATTAGGAAACAGATGTAAATAAGACCCAGCCCTTGGCTCAAGGCCTGTGATGCAGGTGAGGCTGAGGGTAGACACAGGCCTTGGCTTACATGTGCAACAGGGCTGTTTGCAGTAGGGCTGCAAACAGTGTAAGCCAATGGACAGGACAACAATGAACTTGGGCTACAGAGCCAGGAAAAAGCTTTGTCACTGGACTGTGCGTGGGGTGAAGTGAGAGCTTTCCAGGGGGCAAAAGGCATAGGAGGTAGAGACGGAGGCAGTGGCCTGTGGGAAGCATGAGCAAGAGAAAGATTAAGTGGGGGACAGAGCAGAAGATAGGGCGGGGGAGGTCCCATCGACAAGCAGCCAGCTCGCGTCCCAAATATTGGTACAGTGTTTGCATCGCCGCTCACTACACTGAAGTGTAAGCTCCAGGAGAGCAGGGGACGCTCCGCCCTCATTCTCACCCCCAGCCACCTGCCTGTGATGGGACTCCCCTTAGGTCCTGGGCAGGTAGAGAACCCAGCTGCCGGGAGTGGTGAGCGCGCCCCCTAGCGTCCACGGCAAGATCATCCCTCCTGCCAAAGCCAGCAGTCATCCAGAGGGCACCTGCCCTGGGAACCTGGCACCGCCTCTCTTGATCCAGCTCCTCCCCAGAGGATGCTTGCTCCCGCTAGCACTTACTTACCAAGCACATACTCCATGCTGGTCACTGTTCTACGGCCTAGGGTGACAGAAGGAAAATGCTGGCGCCCCACGAGTGGAGCAAAGAAAGTGAGCCCCACCCTTGCCAGCCACTCAGTCATCACTGAACCACCATTCACTGAGGTCACAGAGATGACAAGATGCCGTCTGTGGCCCCAGGAGCTCACAGCCAGCAGAGAGGAGACGTAAACAGAAAAGGGGTGCGCTGTGCCCAGGGTCCCGCTGACAGGACGGGAGTGTGCTGGCCACTAGGGCAACCCAGCGGAGACAGGGTGAGCATAGGCAGAGGATGCAAAAGGGGATCCTGGCAGACACATACCAACACATGACCAACTAAAGGCGGCTGGGCCTGGTGTGCGCGCCGAGCGGCTGTGGGTGTCCACTGAGCTGTCCACACAGGACTTCACATGTGCTTCTTTCTCGGTCACACTCATTTATGAGCAACCCGATCCTGCTGGGATCCAGACCCAGTCCTCTCTTACCAGCAACTCTTAGGAACTCACCTTAACTGTCAGCTTTCCGGCCTGTAAAAGTGAGGCTCATCACATCACATCCTCCACATAGGGCTGTGTGCTGCTGCCAAGACAGGGGAAGCACTTCATCAGTCCCTCCCATCTGCTTAAATCTTTTTGTTCTTGTTGTTGATCGTGGGTCTTGAGCTTGGGGCCTGCGCACTGTCCCTTAGCTCTTCAGCTCACAGCAAGTGCTCTATCACTTGAGCCACAGCTCCACTTCTGGTTTTCAGGTAGTTAATTGGAGATAAAGAGTCTCACTGACTTTCCTGCTCGGGCTGGCTTTGAACTGTGATCCAGAGATCCAGTTTACTGGTGGAGTGAGCCACCAGTACCCAGCTTCTGCTTAAATCATGACAAAGCCAAATTTCTTCCTTTTTTGTATATGTGTCCATAGTGGGGCTTGAATTCAGGTCCTGGGCACTGCTCTTGCGTTTTTTGTTTTGTTTTTGTTGTTGTTTTTTGCTCAAGACTACTAGTGTTCTACCACTTTGAGACACAGGTCTATTTCCAGTTTTCTTGTAGCTAATTGAAGAGAAGAGTCACATGACTGCTGCTGGGGCTGGCTTCAAACCACAATCTTCACATCTCAGCCTCCTGAGTAGCTAGGATTATAGGCGGGAGCCACCAGCACCCAGCTGACCAGGCCAAACTTCTAAGGATTGGCAGTGTCTGGCCTATAGGAGCTCAGTATGATTTGTTAAATAAACAGATCGATTCGTTTTTTCCCCAGTACTACCAGGCAGTTTGAACAAATGTAGGGGAAATAGTTTAGAGTGGGGTGCCTCAATCAGCTTGGGTGGAGAGTAAGATGACACCCCTCCCCTTCCCCCCACTACAGGAGGGGGTCACCAGGCTTTGAGCAGGCCTGCTGAGAGGCTCCATGGGAAGCAGTTCTACACAGCAGCACCGCAGCCTCCCTGAGCCCCCTGCACCATGGCCCTTACCTTCCCCTCTGGTGGTCAAACCTGGCATTTCTCTCTACCCTCTGGGGCCAGGGCACAGTTTCGGGGAAAGGTGGAAAGACCTGCTGAACAGGGTGGCTGCAATCTGAACCGGTTGGACAGGGCGGTCCCATGCTCCCCCCCCCCCCTGCCTCCAGCAACCTGTCCTCTTGGCCAACAGAACCCAGGTAGAAAACCCACAAAACAGGGCTTGGGGGATATAGCTGGGGAACCACTGGCCTGGCTTTCACCTCCAGCACTAAAAACAGAAAAGAACAGGGAAACTAGCTGGACATTGGGGGTTCACACCTATAATCCCAGCTACTCAGGAGGCTGAGACCTGAGGATTGTGATTCAAAGCCAGCCTAGACAGGAAAGTCTGTGAGACTGGCTGAAGTGGCTCAAGCAGTAGAGCTCTAGCCTTGCGTAAAAGAGATTAGGGACAGCGTCCAGGCCCCGAGTTCAAGCCCCATGATCAACAACCACCACAAAAAAGAACAGGGAAATAGAAACCCCTACAAAACAAAACATTTTTATTTATTTTTTATTTCATTTTCATGTTTTTGAGGTGCTGGGGGTGAAACCCAGCACTTCAGAGTTAGGACCCCAGCCCTGAAAAAGCCATTTTCTTACAGCACAAACTACACAGGGAAGTGTTCCCTTTTTTAGCACTGGGCTGTGCAAGGTGGGGGGGGAGAGGGGGCAACGTGCGGAAGGCGTCCAGCTTCTGATGCTACCCAGAGTCCTTTTCCAGTGACATTGGGTGGGGGCAGGTTGCTGTGAACAGGACCCAAGATTCCACCTTCCTCTGCACCGCAGACAGGCAGTTCCTACTGTACAGTCCTCCAGGCGGGAAGCTTTCCTGTTCCTCCCAGCCAGCCCTTTGTGTCTTTTCCACACACACACAACTTTGCACACACAACTGGCCTGTGCTCAGCTGAGCTTCAGGAGGGCTAGAGCCCTGGCTTCTGAGGGGAGCCGTGCGGGCCTGGGACACAGGCAGGAGTCTGGTCTGAGCCTCTTCCAAGCTGACCAAAGCCCCGGGCTCAGAGGGGCCTTGTGGTGTGGTTATAGACCAGGTGTTCCGTGTCCTCAGTGGTGGAGACGGTGGAGCTGGCCGGGGTAGGGGGAGGGTGGTGGCCGTGTCTGCGGACGCTTTTCCTCTGCTTCTTGAAGAAGCAGTAACCCAGGATGGCTAGCACAACCACGATGCAGGTGACCAGGATTGCGGCCACAGCCACTTCCACAGAGCCTAGGGGAAGAAGGGACCAAGGCAAACGGAAACACAGAGCTACCCCGCTGCCAGTGGCAGCTCATGGCAGCCCTGACTGCTCTCCCCTCGCTGTCCCCTCCTCCCTCATGGATGGCCCCCGGTGGCACCCTCCCTCTCTGTGGGTAACCTCGGCCTCCTTCTCAGGCAGTCATGTGGAAGGGTAGCAGGACAGACCAGGACTTACCTATGTTGGGAATGGAACTTTCCCGCCGCAGACCAAACACATCCTTCTCTGCAAAGGGATGGGGAGAAACCAGTGAGCACTCAGGTTCCCAAGACGCACCTGGGCCCAGTGCCCCTGCCCCTCTCTGCCACGCTTTGCCACGGCCCCTGCGGGTACTCTGTACAGAGCAGTGTACGAGGCCTTCCCCGCCCGTTAACGCCTCCCCCCCCCCCCAGCCCTATGGCTCACTGGAGATGCCACTGCAGGACTCCAGACACTGCTGCTCCTCCTTGAAGTTGTTCTTGTTACCATAGCAACCACCGTAGGTAAAGCGGGCGCAGCGTTCAGTGAAGGGGTTGTAGTACCAGCGTGGGATGTTCTCCTGGCAGAGGCCAGTGTCCGGCAGGTCCACACAGTGCCCTGGGGGTTGGAGGGCAGGAAAAGGGGTGAGTGAACCCTCTGGGCCTCCCTGCCCACCCTATGGGAGGGAGGGCAGCCCTGGACACTCCTGGTCCATTTCTAGTGCTGCTAGAGACAAGGAAGATAAATTCTGGATAAAGCTCAGGCACCACGGGAAGCTACACACACTCAGCTTTCTTTTTCCATTTTAACTCTTCTGACTACGTCACAGTCTCTGTTTTCTACCACCGGGCAGTCTATTTTTCCCCCTTGTTCTATTTTTTGGCTTCTTTCTTTCTTTCTCCATTGTAGGGCTTGAATTCAGGGCCTGGGCGTTGTCCCTGAGCCTCTTTGTGCTCAAGGCTAAAGCTCTACCATTTAAGCCACAGTGCCACTTCCAGTTTTTGAGTGGCTAATTGGAGATAAGAGTCTCATGGGGACTCTTCTGCCCAGGCTGGTTTTGATCCACATCCTCAGATCTCAGCCTCCTGAGTAGCTAGGATGACAGGCGTGAGCCACCAGCGCCCGGCTACTGTTTTTTTTTTCTTGAGACAGGGCCTTACTATGCAGCATAGGCTGGCCTCAGATGCTCAAACCTCTTGCCTTACTTAGCCTTTGAAGTACTGGTATTACAGAGCAGCCCAATATTGCCTTTTGCTAGTTTAAACTCAGGGCTTCAATCTTGCTTAGTTGGAGCTAGACCTCTAGTTCTGGCTTTCTGGTAGTTAACTGGAGGTATGTCACTGATTTATCTTTCTGAGCTGGCTTTGAACTAAGATTCTCAGAGCTTTGCACATTGAGTCCCCTAGCATTATAGGAATGAGCCACTGGTGCCAGGCTCAGCTAAAATTTATTAATATTGGGGGCTGGGAAGGTGGCTCAGTGGGAGAGTGCTCGCCTCCCATGCATGAAGCTCTGGGTTCAATTCCTCAGCACCACATAAGCAGAAAAAAGCCAGAAGTGGTGCTGGGGCTCAAGTGGTAGGGCGCTAGCCTTGAGCTGAAGAGCTGAGGGACAGCGCCCAGACCCAGAGTTCAGGCCCCATGACTGACAAAATTATCAATATTGTTTTGCTATGTCGTTTTATTATTTTCAACTTGTGGCAAGTCACAGTGGTTTTCTACTTAGGACCCATGTTATGATGGTAAACTTCCTTACCACAGTGATGTGGGGGGGTCATGAGGAAGTGATTTAAAGTGTTCAGCTCAGAGGATGAGAGACAAATGCTGGGTGGGAAGCAGAGCCACAGAAGAGCGCCCAGGGGCCAGCCAGGGAGCAGGCTGCTGAGCAGTTCCTGGCCTTGGCTCCTGAAGCAGGGCCCGCAGAGCAGCCGCCAGCTGCGGGGGCTCCGCTGCATGGCCGGAGTCAGGATGGCAGCGCTCCTACCTGACTCACCTTTGTCACTGGGGAAGTGGATGCTCTGGAGCTCGTCAAAGCCACTGGTGTCTGCAGGGAGGAAGCCAGAAGCTCAGGCCCACTGTGGGTCTCTGAGGCGCAGGGCCGGGCCTGTCGCCCCCACCTCCACCCTGGGCGGGGGG